ATTAAATGACGAACTAAAATAGGAATAATCATATTCAATATTATTTTTAAATTTCGAATGAGAACGAGAACAACAAAACAGCTGCTTTTTTTCTTTTATTCGAAACATATTTTTATTGGTTATTTTAACAACTAATATTTTACCAACATTTTAAAATCTTCAATTTATTTATTTCAATCATTCGTATTTATTCAGATTAATTCAACTGAAAAATTCTTGCATATTAACTCAAAATAAAATGTCTATCCATGTGGTGCCCTCTTATATTAATATTTCATATCGATTCGATGATTCATCAAACTATGTCGACGCACTATTTGTTAAAAAATACAATTCAAATCAATTAATCTTAAAGAAATATTTTTCAAATAATTCTCAAAGAAATTTTCATTATTTATCTATTCTTATGAACAATCTTCAAAAAAAACTTGTTAAAAAATAAATCGAAAGAAAAAGCGTTGATCAGATTAGGGAAAAGTGTCTTGTCCATGATTAAAATGTTCCATAATTTGATGAATGTGTTCATGATGAACAAGGATATGTTTTTTTTGTTATTTGAAGGAGTGCGTTGCTCTCTTTGCCGTTCCTGAAACGTTCTAAACCATTCTATTAACTATGAGAATGATTTCCTTTACAATTGTTGTTTGAAAAAGTAGGAAACGGATTCCTTGAATATGGGAGATCTTTATTATTTGGCGTTCTCTAGAGAATCATTCAAGAATAAATTCTTCGAGTTGATAAATCAGTTTGAGACGATCTAACATTATTCTTAGAAAAAAAAAAGAAAATGTTTTTTTTGTCATTCTAATAGATACTTGATCGTTTTTGTATGAATTCAAAAATCGATTTGGGAGCAATAGAATGTGTTATCGTGCACTTCATAAACTCAATTGAACAAAGTATTACACTACATTGAGAAAGAAAGAATATTGATTTGTTTAGTTTACTTTTTCTTGATGCTTTCAAAAGGATATATTGGTTTTTTTTTCTCTTTCTTTTTCTTGATTACAATTGATCAATATTTTGTTTTTCCATCAGTAGTTTTTGAGTAACTATCTCCAATATTGACTCTTAACTGTCAATATCGGAACATTTTCTATTTAAAAAATTAATAAAAACGAACAAAATCTATACACAAAAAAGTTTAGTGAAATGAAAAATCTTATGAAGATTCAAATTTGTTTTGGAAACGAATAAAAATGAAGCGTTCGGTTCGGTTCGGTGCAGCAAGAAAAACAAATTATTTTGTTGAATAACCCATGTTGCAAAAACCAGATCATTTTTAGCGGTATACCACCGCTTTTTTTTTGTCGGTTTTTATCACATGAGAAGAATAGAACTTAGATAGGAAAGGATAGAATAAGCTAAGTATATAGGATAGGATAATTAGATTGTTTGAATAGGATAAAGATATACACTCTTCATGTATTCATATTCACACTTACAGAGAAACACTCTCAATCAGCCAGCATCTACACTTACATTCTCAAGTAGCATCTATCTCTGCACTGATTGACACTGTTACATCCATACTAACAGAGAGAAAATCGCATCTACAATCATGCCAACAGCTTCATTCCTTCTATGTGTATTGTTACTGGTGACACTTGACTCTACTTCAAATAAGTCATTAATCAATAAAAGGATATTGAATTTAATTGAAAATGGTACAACAAATATATGAAGAGATAAATGATTGCTTGGAATTACAGATTCTTCAACAACGACTGTTTTTGGCATAAGTCAAGCAAAAAACAAAATGATATACACTACAGGAAGAAGATTCAACTTATTCAAACAACATTTTAATGATCATTTTTTCTGTTCATATTTATCTATTTTTGTTCATAGACCGAGACAATTGTAACAGTACACAATTATTAGAACAGATACTATCATTATCTTAGATCGATCAACGAAAAACTCATATTATAATCATTCTAGAATTCGCCTCCTTATTGTATGTGTGTGTGGTGTGCATGGCATGACTCAAACTTTTTGGTAAATATATCATATTCAATTGATAGATAGAATATCTATCTACCTTATCAGAATAAAGTTTTTCGATCTGTTGACTTTCTATTATAATGTCTCAGCAAAGTGATAATGCATATAAAGAATTATTTTCATGAAATCTCTAAAAGACACGATCGTAAATATGATTGTCTTCTCAACGAGCGACGATCGTGCGTATAAAAGTTATCCTGTAAGAGTTATAAAAGTTATTTTTGTAAAAGTTATTTAATTTTTTTAGACTTGTCAAAGATCATTATTATTTTGTCAATCAAAGAAGTGAATTCTGTAAGATTTTCGAAAAAATCATCTTTTAGAAATGTAGGAGAATTGCTAAATGAACAACGTCTTCGAAACAATAATATTTCCTTAAATTGATAGTTCAGAATCTTGTCGAGACAGTATAAATAAAACTACAGATAAATTCATTTTGCATTTCCGAATAATGATCTTAATTTATTTTCATTTATTCTTCATAATAAATAATAAATATAAATAAAATCTTTATCTTTATAAAAATAATTGGTGAAATAAATAATAAAGAAACTTTGTTTTTCTATGAAAACATAATGTATGATCTTTTATTTTTCCTGATTAGTTTATAAAAATTAATGTTATAATAGATGAAAATGAAATATAGAGATGAGTTTTTTCATATATGTGTGTTTTCATGTATTAGATTGACTTTTTAATAATCTCATATTTTGTCTATTTACCTATTCATAGAACAAAAATATTTTTTTATTCAATAGTTTATCTTTATTTTTAAAATAATAAAGATTTTATTTATTTATTTATATTTACTTTTCAAAACTAAAGAATTTTCTTATTGTCATTATTATATAAAGATAGAATTATTTATGCTTATTTAATAAATATAATTAAGATTCTATTTAGATTTATTTTATAGAGTAACAATTCTATTTCTGAATTATTCGAACATGTAAAAAAGCTATATAACATGAAGGAAAGTGTGTGTGACTTTGACGTAATGAAGATATTGTATATGTAGCTGATCTTAATCTAAGAAGAGAACAGTAAAAAATATGTAGGAGTATCAACTGATTGAAAAAACATTCTCTATTATAATAAATGACGAATCATATTGAAGAGAATCTGCTTGTTAAGGAAACGATTGATTTCAAAATAGTGTTGAATTGTAATTAATTGAGTTTGGCACAAAATCATTGATTTAGTCAAGTTTGATTGTGATTATGATACTAAAAATGCTTTTTAGATTTATGTACAATCAATCAGATGAATAAATCGTTATCTTTAGACGGTTATTTCAATAATTTATTGAAAATTCATCATCAATTAAGCGGTTATTGTAATATTTATAACGATAAGAATCCAATAGTCTTTTTATATTACATTTTACAATAAGTATGTATCAATTAGAAATAAAGCAAAATATTTCGCCTCTGTATAAATATCAGAATTGCAAAATATAAAATCAGATCAAATCATTAAAAAAAACTAATTGAACTTAAATGCGGTTTTACGTAGATTAGCTTGGTAAGATTTATTTCGAACAACTTCGTTTATTTTCCATATATTTTCACGATCACATTCAATTTTAATTTGAGTCTGTTTTCTGTTATGAATTTTAGTGTTAAAGAGGCCCCACATATATTATGCATGTTAAATGAAAACACTTGCATTTTTTTATCAGATAAAATCGTCTGTTTTCATCTTTGGATTTTTGCACTTCGCAATTAGGATTTTTATTAATTTTCTCCATACATGTCAAAGCCGAAAGTTGAATTCAACTATTCATCGCAGCTGGTGCGGGTACCAAGAAAGGACTTCAGTAGTAGAAACTATTAAATAGTTTTATATTTGAACTTCAGTTATTTAATAATTGAGTAATTAAATAATTGAAATAACTTTCTCAATAATAAAATTTAACTTTCAAGTTTTGACACTAGTGGACAATTTATTAAAAACCTTTAAAAAAGTGACGGCAAAAAAACCTCTATAATAATGAATCGATATATCATGATCTCCTTTTTTGAACGATGAAAACTGCAATTCTCTATCTTGTTTCTATAGAAAGTTCTTCGAAAGATATCAAATAGTCACTTGTTACTGTCAGGCACATATCATACGAAACACAAATCTTATCTTCGATTTTATTATTATGATATTAGTTTAACTATGATCAAACAGCATAGAAAAACAAAACATTCTCTGTTTTCTATCAGACTATTTAGAAATGAAAATTTCTTAAAACCTTTTTATAAAGAGTTAAAGTATCTCCGCCACTATTTTTGATGTGATCTAAGTATCTCTGTGTAAAATTTTAAGTTGAAATAGGAAAATAAGGTTTTCTAGTATAGCTAAGGTGGACCACGGCATATATTTAAATCAATACTGTAAAAGTGTAGTATCTCCATAGGAATAAGCTAACTATCCCAACTATTTCAGCATTTTCATAACTGATCAGAATCTACATAAGGCACATAGTTTCAATTGAAAAGTAATTGAACAGTTGGTGATATTCCTTCGTCAGTGAATTAACATTTATATGTTCAAATGTTGGATATCATACTATATCAATATATTCTATATAATATAGCTCATTTATACAAGTTTAAATAAACGAAATCGAATATATTTAATATAATTCAAGACTTGTTTTAGGTAATGTTTCATACAGTAAATCAATCATCGGAGAAAGGCGGTATAATCAGATCATTATCGATGACTATATTATCTCAAAATAGGCCGTTTACAAGAGGAATTTTTGTATTTGTTTTTTAATAGGATATTTAAATCTAAATCGTTTCAATGAATATTTTTAAAAAAAAAGTTCTATTTATTAATAATCATATATAGAAATATATGTTTACAGTTGATTAAGTGAAAGGTTTTTTTCTAGTTTATTATTTTCTTTTAATATAATTGTAATATGGTCAATTGACAATATTTTTCAGAAATAATTGTAGAAATTAAAAAAGAAAAAAAACAAAAAAAAGAAATAGTTAAATTCTTCGTGAAGACCATCTAATGCTCATATGATTTTGTTTCAGTTGTTGAATACCATCGAGAATTTTTTGTTGATGATCTTTATTATTTATTCCATATCGTGTTAGAGTATAATGATTGAAATAAAAGAAAAGACGAAATCCATCAATTCGATCTTTTCGAAATAAATCAACATAAATGTGATAATTTTCACCAAGTGATTGAATCCATCTACAAACATCATTAATAGACCATGTTGCTAAATTGTCACTTTTATTCATATCTAAATGAGATATGATTTATCTGATAGAAGTTAAATCATTTAATAAAATATCTGTTAATGTTAGTTATTAATATTCTATAAACTTACATTTATTAATTGATTGATTATTAAAAGTTGATTTTTGATTAAAATATGAATGACTAATAATATTATCTTGTTTATTAATATTTGTATCTATTTTAATTGATTTATTATTTGTTAGATTTGTCAAAGATAATGTATTGTATTGATTAGATTGAATATCATTTAATGATTGATTATTTAACGATTGAATAAAATTATCTTCTTTCGACGGTATTATAATCGATGAATCATTTTGTTTAGTTATTGGTTGTGGATTGAAATTCAATTTTTCTGTTGAATTTCCGACTGTAGGATGATCGTTCGACGTTGATAAACTCGAATCATTATTATCTATTGAAGATAAATTCTTCGGTTTCCAATTTTTTCCTTCATAAAGAATCCATTTGGATAAAGTTTCAAGAAATTTTTTTGCATAAACTTGTTCAATCCATTGTTGAGGAAGATTTTTATAACCATAATATGCTCCAGCTAATTGTCCATATATAGCAGCAGTTGTATCAGTATCATCACCAAGATTAACAGCAGCAAGTACACCTCTTTTAAATGAATCTTGATCAGACCAAAAAGCCCATAGTGCAGCTTCAAGTGCACTAACAATATATCCTTTACCTCTAATACCATCATCATATCCTCCTTGTTTTTTATAAGAACCTTGAGCAATATTAATTATGTCTGAATGAAGAGGTTTATCATTAAACCAATGAATATGTTGAGAATAAAAATCATTATCAAGTAATTTATCTTTTGTTTCTCCATGAAGAGCAGCAACAATAAGAGCACCATAATAACGACAAGCATCATAAGCTTTTATATCTCCATGTGTTATTTGTCCACTAATACCAGAATATTCTATAGCTTCATTTGGATATTTATAAAAAAATAATGGTACTGGAGCAAGACGCATTAAAGCTCCATTACCAGCTACACCTTCTTCACTACACATAACATTAAAATTTTTAAGAAGATTTTCATCTGATAAAAAATCAATTTGATCAAATGGAATATTATTTTTATCAGAAAATTCTTTTTGTCGACGTGCAAATTCACGTAATGAATCACTTGTTGCTGCACCTATATCAAAACATTTACCTGTTGAAGACATATAACCATTTAAATGCCACCATTTATATCGAACTAATTGATCATAACCTACAAAATCACCACGAGCAATTAAAGAATTAGCTAAACAAAGAGCCATTGATGTATCATCGGTAAACTAAATAAATATAAATATTCGTCAAAATTATTATTTCTATTCATTTATTTAATTATATATATATATAATAATGAAAACATACTTGTCCTTTATTGAGACCCCATGTACCTCCACCAATAAGATCTTCAACTGGATGTTCACGTAAATATTCTCGAGGTCGAAATTCTACATGAGCTCCAAGAGCATCACCTAAAGCCATTCCAATAATTGAACCTTGAATACGATCAAGAATATTCATATGATTATTTAATATTGGATCTTTCATATCATTTTCAACTTCATCTGGCTTCTTTATTGATGTATGTTCAAAATCATGATATTGACAATCAAGCCATTGTTTATCTTAAATTCAATCAACACTTCGTTTTTTTTTTTTTTTTTCTTAATCGACCATTTCTTTATGTCAAAAAGACAAAAGACAATTTATCTTATTTATATAAATATACCTGTATGAAATTGACATGCTGGATGAATATCGACTGATTGATTAACTTCTAAAATACAAAATATTTATTGACTAATTAAAGGTTATCGTCATTTATAGAAATCGAACAACAAAAAGAAAATACGATAAATTACTATTTCTAGTGTTAAGAGATTGATCTAATTGTTTCGAATGTTGATCTATGATTGATTGATCAAGATCAATTGAATCACTGTGTTGACTATCAGTAGACGTCCGAAGAATATCAATCGATTGTGGATTTTCTTCAGTTTTAATGGATTCTGATTGATATTTTAATCTTTTTGAAGAAGGAGAACAAGAAGAAGAAGAAGAAGAAGATGTTGATCTTTCATATATTGAATTAAGTGTATTGGTTTGTTCCATTGTCTTAATATTTAATTAGATAATAAATAAGAGTGATTATATTCAATTTAAAACAATCAATTTATCTAAAGACAAATAATATTTAATTTAAGATTAGTTTTTTTCTAAAAGGTCTATTCATTATCTTAACATCAAATAGAAAGTTGATTAAATAAGAAATAAAAAAAAAAAACCGAATTGACTTATCTGTTAATCATTGATATATATATGAGATAAATAATAATTATTTTATAATCATAGTTGATTATTCAGTATTATTTATCTTTATTGAAAAATATTCTTGATAAATAATATCTTTAGAATAAAATAAATCTAAATATAGATCATAAATGACAATTATCTATACCAAAATAATTAATCGAACTTCTCTTAAATAATATTAGCTTAAGGTGGCCACCCCTCAGAAACCAACTTTCTTACTTTTCATCCGATTTCAACCAAAATTTCAGAGAATGTTAGTCTTGGCTAGAATAGATTATGGTTAAAATATATCCAGAAATCTGCGAGCCATTCACAAGTTATAGTCAATTCATTAGTCAAATATACCCTTTACGCGGGCAAGAATTTCACAATAAGGATACGAGCTACCAAGCCCGGACGGTTTTCAACTTGTAGAGTACCCTTAGGGCTAGATCCTTCCAGGGCCCGATTTTTGAATTTCCCTTTGTTTATTTTTTAAAAACTCTTTTTCGTAAAATTCACGAAATCATGCCCAACAATATTGCTACTAAAAAATAAAATATCTAAGGTTTTTATTTCACCAAAAGAGGAATTCAAAAATCGGATCCTGGGAGGATCTAGCCCTATCTGTCTACTATGTATGCATTAATCAAAATCATCACTTCTATATTGAGTTATTATGAAGAAAACCTTGCCCGCGTAAACAGTATGCTCGAAAAAATTGATTTTGAGAAAAACGGAGAATAAGTTTTTAGAAACCTTATTTTTTTCAATATGAGGATTCAGAAAAACCTATGTAATATCTTTAAATCTCATCATAAAATCAATCAACTATAGTGCATTCGAGAGTAGACACTTTGCTCTATCTAATCAGTTATAAATCACAAAATCAATAAATTTGACCAAAATTGACTTTTCTGACGGAAGGCCCCCTTTAATAAAATAAAAATAAAATCTTCGATATGAAATCTATATATATATATATGTCGTGTCGAAGTTGTTAACAACTTCGACAAACATTTTGCCGAAGTTACAACTTCGACAAACATTTTGCCGAAGTTACAACTTCGACAAACATTTTGCCGAAGTTACAACTTCGACAAGAAGTGTAACTTCGACAAACATTTTGCCGAAGTTACAACTTCGACAAGAAGTGTAACTTCGGCAAGAAGTGTAACTTCGGCACGACATATTTATACATAAGTAAATGATTAAACAAGTTTAAATCTAATCGAAATAGTTAAAGTGATATAATAGGATGTAGTCGATATCTAATTGTTACTATTGACTTAACATATGATGAGTCTATAGAAAAGCAAGGAGATATTTAAAATAAAAATCTATTGCATCGTTATTAGAATAGTAACTGATCGTCTTTCCGTTATTGTTGTTTTTCTATTGTCTATTTATTGTTATATAAATAATAAATTATGATGATACCTACAACGATTAACATAATATTAACATTTTATTTTATATTCTAAATATTAGTTTTCAATAATAAATATAATTTAATATTAATTTAATTTTGTGAAGAAATTCCCATTGCTTGGAATAATTAATATTATATTTAATTATCGATAAATAATATGTCAAATGGTTGAATATAAATGACATCAGTTTTTGTTTATTAAAACTATATTTTATTTCAGTCCATTAAACATTTTCAAGGTTAATATTAATCTTAACTATTCAATCAATATTAGTTTTTATTAATCTCAATTAATAATTAATCATATTTATCTTTATTTATTTAAAAAAACTGAACAAAAAATCTTTCGAAATAAATATTCGTCATTGAAAATAAATTTAAATTGAATTTTATTTCTATTTAATGTTTTCAAACGAGATTAATAATCAATATTCTACATTTAATTTTATTTATAAAGATAATTTCGAATTAAATTTTTCTTCTCGATTGATGATAAATAACAATAAAGAAAATAATTCTCGAAATTGATAGTCAATCTATGATATATATATATCTAGACATATTTTTATTAATCTTCTCTTTTTTCAGACAAAACTAAGATCAACATATTTTTCGACATATTCAAATCAATATTGACACAATAAGTATTCTTATAGTTAAACATAAATCTTACTTTATTTCTCAAGTTATTCACACAGGTAACATATCGATAATGAAAATATTTATTCGATTGTTTATAGCATGTTCAGAACTGATATATAAATCATACCGATAGAAAATTGAACAGTCAACTTGTGAATAATACTCAAACAATAATTGAAACTTATTTAAACGTTTAAATGCTTCGATAATGACCTTATATATATGTTAGAAAATGTTTAATCAAATAGTAACAATAGTCAAAATTGTTTTAATTAGTTCTATTATAAATGAGTGAAAATAAAAATGTTGACTTTTTATTGTTTAGATCAATCGAATGTTCCTATTCAATGTATGACTAGGAACATATATATATATATATAACAAATAATTCTCATCAAGAATAAATTTCGAGTGAATTTCAGCGAAATCTGAAAAAAAATCTAGGAGAATTTCTATGATAAATTAAAACAAAGTTAATAAAAATAATTATTGATAATTGTATAATGATGTTAACTGACTTGTCTGTAAAACAACGATTCAATATGAATAATTAAAATAAAATAATAATATAAAATATGATTTCGTTGGAATAATGATAATTATATTGTAGATGAATGAATATATAGATTTATCAGTTAATATATCATTGGAATAAAATAATATTCAAGAATAATTATAAAGATAAGAATTATTTATTCAAATAGATAAATAAAATAAGATTTTTTTTTGTTTTGTTTTTTTCGTTTCGAAAGAATTTCTCTCAATAAAAATTATATTACCTTTTTGTTTTTGTTTTGTTTTTCGAATCGTCGTATGTTAGAATAAGCTTCGACATCAATGATACCTATTTGACAACAACATCTAACCACATTGAGAATATAGTTGTGTGAAAAAAAACAAAAACACGAAAAAAGATTATTTATAAAAGAACAGAAAAAAAAAATGCGCCATTATTAATAAAATTTTATTCGGCGAAAAAAAATGGGAATCAGTCAAAAATAAATAATCTCAATGGAATATTATTCGACTAAAAAAACGAATATTTTTTATTATAAATAACAGATAAATTATTTATTTTATTTATTTAAATAATAATCCTTCATCTCTTATATAATGAATATAAACAATAATAAAAAAAAAGTGTATGTTTCATTAATATAATAATTTCGGATAATATTCAACATAGTCTATTTATATATTATTTTCTCATTGATTTGTTTTTTATCTTCTTATAGAGAGAATATAATTATTATTCGATTTTGACATTATTGATATTTATCAGAATTTGTTAAATTAATTATTTTAGATAATCTCGACAGATTTATATTGGTTTTGTTTTTGTTTTTGTTCGAATAATTCAACGTATGATTATATTAACATTTGAATATATTTATTTACAATAACAAAATAAAACAATAATGAATGAATATAATCTATTAATAGAATTAACATGAACATATTTATGGTTATCTAATTTTTCATCGTTTTATTTCGTTTTTTGATCAATATGAATTGATAAAAAAAAAAAGAAAAAAAAAACACAAGTAAATGTCAAGGTTGTCTATCATACCTTCATCAAATATGTTGATCAAAGAAAAAAAAGTTATTGTTGACACAGACAACAAATAAAATAACCATTTAAAAAAAAAAAAAACCAAGACATTAACAATAGTTTTAAATGCAGAATAATATAATAAGAAATGGTATGATAAATATAATTTATCTATTCAAATAGAATTTTATTTTTATTAAAAATAAATATCCTGATAAGATAAA